ACATTTTAGTTATAATACATCATATATGAATATACATTATTACTATATATAAATAAGTTCTTATATTTCAGTTATTTTTCTTAAGACATAGAACAGTAAATAAAGAAGTATAGCAAGCAATTATCTCTTCTAGTTATGAACTTTGTGCTCGTTTGCTGCTCGCTGTAAGTTGCTAAGCCTTATCAGATTTCACAGTTTGCTTTACAGGGTAGACTTCATTAGTTTACAAGTTATGTTTTAGTTCTGATCTGTATGATTAGCATACTTTTGATCAGAATTTAGTAATAATAATAGTATTTAAACATTTGAAGAAGTCCCTTCATTAGCTATGCCATTTGAATTGAAGATTTTTAGAAGAGAAAATTTTAAAATCCTACATTTTTGTTTCAAGAGTATTTTAATCTTAAATCTGAATCATCAGTTTATAAGATTTGATATAGATTAGCATGTACTGGCTTTTGAATTGGTGTATATAGTATAATGAGCTGCCTCCATTCTGCATTTCAAAAAACAACAACACATAAAACAAGCAAGGTACTAGTATTGCATACTTCAGGGATTCTTGTATCTTTACACACCATGTGTTTTATTGCTTCACAGTATCATACTTGAAGGAGATCCATCAGCTGTTGTACAAAAAGTAGCTTTAAGAACAGATGACATTCCATTAGGAGAGCAAACAGTTGCACAGGTAAGTTATATCCTGATCATTTAGCAAATTAATTAATTACAAACATTATATTTTAAATTTGTAACAGCAATAGTTATAATTTTTATTATTAATAGTAGTTTTTTATTAAAATTGCAATTCTTGTGTAGAGCTAAAAGTAAAAATATTTTTTAAACTATTTTGTACTTTTACAGTAATAACTTCTCAGCAGTCACTGAGGATTGGCACATTTGTTAATTTTTAAGTAAACGTTAAATTAAAAAGACAGATACTTTTGCATATATAGTCATCGGTACAACTTGTTTCCTAGCAAAATCGTTTATTAAATAGATTTTGCACAACACTGCATGATAGATCAGTGACAACTTGTAGAATATAAGTAACATAGTTAAGGATTGATATGTTTTTGAAAAATATTGGTCATTGTATGTGTGATAACTTAATCCATATTGTTTCAAACTTCTATTATTTGCAAACCTAGCAAAAAAGTAAAAATGAAAGCAGCTGTTAATCAGAATTTAAAAGAAGTTGTAAGTTAGTTAATATCTGTATATTTATCTTTCATGTATTGCAGCCATTAATACTATGTATTTTGTTTTATGATTGTTGTTACCCCCCAAACGTTTTTTTTTCCTTTTTTCATATATATTGACTTTTTAAAATGTGTTTTACATTAATATGTCTTATAAATCTTGACTTATAAACTGTATTTTATTTTGGCTCCTGCAGGTCCTACAATCAGCAAAAGAACAGCTAAAATGGTCTCTTCTGAAGTAGCTTTTCATTTCTCTGTCATAAACAGTCATGGTTTATTATAATTAATATAGCACACATATTACTTTGGTTTAATCAACTTGTAATTTCCTTTATTGCCTTAGTCAAGGAAGTCAAATAAACATATTGTAAAAACATTCTATTCACAAGAGTAAATAAAGACTTAGTCTTCTCTCTCTTTTTTTTATGTTATGAATAATTTTTCTTTATGCAGAGTTTTTGTTTTGGCAAATAATGTTCATGTACATAATGAAAAGTTTAAAACTTCAAATATTAGCTTAACAAGTGATTTTGGAGAAGCAAGAAAAATCAAATAAAAATCTATGTTTCCAGAAGCATTTTTTTTATTGATTTTATAAAAGGCTTTAAAATTTTTATATCACAGAGGAACTGCAGGTGGTGGTTATGCATATTATTTAACCATGTGGGGTAGGGTTTTCAGAAATTGTGCATGATACATGTGTTTAGATAACAAAATGATTGAATAATAAAAACTTTGCATAATTGAAGCATATTAATTCATTTACAATTTAACTATTATAAGTGTAACTTTTCAAACTTAAAAAAACTAACTATAATCTTTTTCATGATGGGCAGACAATGATATATACACACACACACACACATATATATATATATTTTCATGTTCTTAATTTGTTTCAGACTATATATACTATTCAATATACTATTCTAAGTATAGCCAAATATTTTGTTTCATTGAAAATAAATGAAAAAAATACTACAATATTCAGGGTACAAAATGTGAATCTGCTGAACACACCAAGTACTTTCAGCTGTGGGTGTGTTATAAAAGTGACAGTCAGTCTTGTTCAAAAACCAGACAAAGATTCTGTGGTGGCGAGTGCTGCTGGCTGATTACCTTCCCTCCCTCTAAGTAGTTTGAAATTATGGACTGCTATACCTGGACTCTAAGGGTCTCATCTGACCAATTCGCTCATGTGCCAGTAAGGTGTCATTCATGTTGAAAATTCAATTCTTACTTATTTACAGCTGTCATATATTTAGGGGGGAAAATAATTTACTACTTAAAATCTGAACCAAAAAATGTAAAATATCAAAATTATTAATCTCATTACTTTGAATTCTAAAATGTGGCATCTGTTTTCATTATCTGTGATATTAATTTTTTTTTGTATTAAAAGGATGCAACACTTATTAATGTTTTCAGGTAAATTTGTTTGACAATGAACAGATATCAAATTGGAACATAGAGTACAATATTATGTTTATAGGCTAGTTCATAACATACAAATAATTTAATGTGTTTATAAATACATATTTATAGTATTGATGATAATGATTTGTATGGATTTATTTCTACACGAGAAAGAAAGAAAAATTTCAAGCTTCTATCAAAAAAAGCTATGAATATGATAATTTCATTTCCTCTGTATATCAGGTGGCAGTAAAAGTCACAAAATAAGTCTATGTTTAGTTGGGAAACCCAGTATCTCCAACAAAATTACACACACTCAATATAATAAGAATATTACAGAATTATAATTAGGTTAAAAATGAGTGGGTCAATTTAACGATTTTAAGTTTTTTTTTGCACCTGCCATGGTTGTCAGTAATAAAACCATTAGAATTTTGCAAAATATTAAAATTACAACATAAAATGTTACAGTTGCAGATAACGTGAGGGAAAATAATACAGAGGGATTCTTTATCAATTTTGTTTGGTGAGCATGAAGAAGTTACTGCTTTTATTAGAACTTTGTGCTGAAGGTTAGTAAAAAGACAATAAAACATTTTTTTTCGATCACAAATTGTATTGGATGAAAATAAGTAGATATATATTGTTAAAATTAATACAAACTAATAATGTATATTTAATTTATGGTTTTATCCAATAAAATATTTTAAAGCTATTTTATGTAGTGTTTGATGAGAAAAAATGAGCTTTTGTTTTTACTTCGCACATTAAGTAAAAACTTACAAAAAATATAAAGTGAACATTTTTGGTAAACTAATGTACATCGTGTTATACAATAACAGGAAGTCGTTTGTTTCTATAAATATCCATTTTGAAATTCTGATCTAAATTCAACAACACCACATCCTTTTTACGCTTATTTGTGATCAGCTTTTATAATATTATATTCAGCATAGAAATTGCATAAGTTCTTATTTAGGTTTAAGGACATTTTTCGTGGTGAGCTCTTACATGTATAGAATGATAAAAGATAATTTCAAAAGTACGTGTTTCGTTTTTACCTAAATCACAGCCGAGTAGTTAGCATGCTCGAATTGAATCCGAGAATTAATGGTTTGAATTACGTTGTCACAAAATCGCACTCTGCACTTTGGGGCTATGAGTGCGTTACAAGAACGTTGCTCAAATCACACTATTCTATTATATACACCTGGAAAAAAGTTAAGCACCCCCAAATATTTTTCAGGGTTGCTTATTGAAAATAAGG